TATATATATATATTAGCTAGAAAATAAAATAACACAAATTAAGTTTTAACCATTGTACTGTATTATGTACCCTATTCATTGAAAGTGTCATAGAATGTAGTAAATGTCTTTGTATTTTTATATTTGTAACATAACATTAAATCACACTGACTGCAGAAGCATTTTTAGTGTCCTCTTTTATTAAAGAGGGAATAGGTGCTGATATTAAGAGGGGGGTGATTCAGTCCTATTTTCTACTACACTGCTTGATTTCCTCTCCTGACTTAACAGCTCCTTTACCTTCTCCTACATAATTAATCACACACCATCTCCCATAGACATGAGAGGGATGGACTCCGGGCATGTAGGAGAGTGAGAAACTAAACTGAATTAAAACCAACACAATGCAATGTACACGAGCACAGCGTGAGAAGTGCCTGCTCAGCAGACTGAATATGGCCACGACACTGTGCAGGATTCATTTCAAGTAAAAACAAAAATTGAAGCAGAAAGGCTGCTCGTCAGTTTAGAGCGATGAGGGTTTCTGCTGACAGCTGAGTTTCAGTTCCTCCCTGCTTTTAAATGTACCAGCCGCAGCTGTCAGTGGAGCTTTATCGGTCCATATGAGGGGGTGAGGCAGGTCTGATTGTGTGTAATGAGCTGCAAATCAAACAGAAGCCTCTCTAGGGTTTGGGATTCAGTTGCAGAGAGCCACCGTTTCATGCAGGTGGGGTCATGTGTAGTACAATCCAGCAGCACTTCACCGGAATATTTTAATATGCTGGAGCTCAAGACTGCACAGATTAGAGTGCTGAAACCACATGCAGATATAATATGTTTTAGAAAGAAATGTTTTAGAAATGCTTTTCAAGGCCAAACTCTCATGCATTATACGGTCATTTTGTTTGTTTCTATTTTAAATATAGGAAAATATGCATTCAAAAACTGCAAAACAGTTTAAAAGAATGCATTGGTAAGATACGCAAGCAGTTATCGCTTTTCACAGGAAAAGCAAAAGCATGAATCTTTTTTTTTTTTTAAAGGGGTCATGTTGCTAAAAAGAACATTATTTTGTGTATTTGGTGTAATGAAATGTGTTTATGCAGTTTAAGGTTAAAAAAACATTATTTTCAAACAAAGTGGTTTCGCTTTCACAACGAAACACAGCGTAACACACGGCGGGCTAGAGTGAGTGGAGGCCAGAGGCCTAGAGAGAGCAGAGGCCGGCGGCTAGAGTGAGCAGAGGCCGGCTTGAGTTAGCGGCGGCGGGCGGGCTTGCGGCAACCACATGTGACGACCCCGGGCTGGACTCCGATATCTCTTTGGATTTGAGACTTTAGTCTTTGCAACTTTACAGATCTTCTTTATGCACCAAGAGCTTGTAACACTCCAAAGAGAAAGGAAAACTTGAAATCGCATCATATGACCCCTTTAATAAGCCTGTTTAGAAATTTGAACAAAATCTTAAGCTCCTGTGCAGAGACACGTTTATGGACTAATTCTAGACTAAATTAGTCTTTAGTGACTAATTACTTTCCATAGTACTTTATTTTTCATACTGGTCTTTGTTCAGGAAACCATATTTTAAGTCATTTTTAAATATTCTTATTCCTCATGTAGGCATCATTGGCAAACAAAAATACCACTACCATTTAGATATACTTAGGAATGTTTAGATAACTTGTTTGTCATTGTTTTTGCATTGGTTTCACACAGAAATGACACAATTCATCAATTTTTTAATCACAACTTTTCCATTATTCTCATATAGAACTCTCTGTTCACTGCAAACCTCCGTTGAGTTTGACCTGATATAAACAATTAGACCTGATGTAAAGTCTGTCATAAAGTGAGGACGACCAAACAACATGGTGTCTAAAAAGGTATAACATATTTTATGTACCAAACACAAAATCACATACAGCACAGTACAACAAATTAAACAAGGCATGAAAACAACATCTTTGGCACTTGACAAATAGATGACAGTCAAACAAAAAATGTAAACAAGACAGAGGCATGGTATTAAAACAAATAAGTATAAAAAAATGGCAAGGTGATAAAAAGTCAAGGTTTTGGCAATGTGATAGTCTATCCAAAACTTTCTCAGTCTGCATATTTTCATGCAAAACCACGTCATCTCTGCTGTGCCGGCTGTATTTGAACGCCGGTTTGCGAGGCCTCATCCAGGGCCCTAGCACCATGCTCTTCCATCCCTTGTGAGACAGCTCATTATAATACCAGTCGCCAAGGGTCCTTATTTAGTGCAAATAGGCTGGCTGAAGTCTTTAAGAAATTAATCCTGCAAGCGTCATTTTCGGAAAGTGGATGGAACTATGATTGGTTTGGGTCCTGAAACAGGTCTGAAAAAAAAAACATTGGTTAGATATACACTAGAACTTTAAGTTGTCTGCTCTACTGTCAATCTCACTGATTTACACTGCAAGCAGAAATATCAGAAATTCATCTTACTTTTTGGTCGTATGAGCTCCATATTCTCCCTATATTCATATTATATGAGCCTTTAAAGCCTGAATATAAAAATATAAACACTTTTTTTAAAGCTTTACTTTTATATTTTGTCTAAAGTTTCAATAAACTATTCCATTAAAAAAATAGGGCTTGCAGGGTTAAAATTGTTGTAAAGGCAGGAATGGAAGTGTGTGCTTATCTCAGTTTACCTCATATTTCTCACAAGATCCTTCAGTTGAAAGACTTTACACTGTTAAATTAATGCTTTTCCAAGGCTGACAATCATTTCAAACAAACCACTTACGCCTTTCTTTTTGTGTGAAAAACCATGATGTAAACATAATACCCTGCTGAGTCTGTCAAAATGAAACGCAGTTTTCAGCATATACAGTCGAATCCTCAGAGTCTCACTGTTATGTGTTAAAAATGAATTCGTATTTTTTATCACAACATAGTACTAAGCTGCCGCTGCCACTGGGAAGCTACGAACAGATTTATCTTCACAAGCTGAAACTCAGTGAGATTCGGTTGTTCTTAGATTGGAGCATAGTGCTGGAGACAAGCAGAAATGAGGCCTGGATATCGGTGCAGTTATTTCTGAAAATAAGTGCTAGACGGCTGCTTTTGAGAACTGATAGCGGACTAGCATTGATGTGAAGACTCGAGGAGAGAAAAGAAGATTTAAACTTGCAAAATTCACTTCTTACAATATTCTATTGGGGCATGTGTATTTCCCCATAAAACCTATTACTGTATATAAATGAGTAAAACCCCGTCCAAACGTTTGATGTGTTGTAAAAATTCAGTCCTATATTTACTGCACTCAAGAATAGGTAGAGAGTTGAAAAGAATAAGAATCCCATAAAATATCCAAAGCGCACGCCTCACCACCCACTGTTCGGCACGCTTATTTGTATCTAACATTGACTCTGATCCATTTGCTCTGGCAAAGAAAAACAAAGTATTGAATAATTAGAGCAGACGGACTCTCACTCATTAGGACTGCCTTTCTTATTGGAGAGTAACTGTTCAGTCAACTGTTACAATTAGTATGCTAATTAGCTAATGGCGTCACAATTTGCATATTTTGGTGAGAATAAGTCATAAATGCTGAGTGGAAAAGACAGACAAGACAGTTAAGTCTGTTAAATGAATGCTTTTCAAAGACCATCATTTCAAACAAACCACTTGCGCCTTTCTTTTTGTGTGAAAAACCATGATATAAACATGATACCCTGTCAAAATGAAATGCAGTTTTCAGCATATACAGTTGAATCCTCAGAGTCTCACTGAACTTCTAAATACTCCTTCTAGAGGATTTGTGTGATTGTCACCAAATTTGGTCAACATGATGCCAAGACAATAGGGATGTTTACATGCTCTAATTTTGTTAATCCAAATTAATGTAATCCAATTTTAGATTCTGAAACTCTGTTTACATGAACCCTAAACTTTGCAATCTGATTCACATTTTCGTTCACATGTGCATTTTATATTCTAACAAAACTTCAGGGCATACGCAGTGACCCTGTCAACACAGTCACAGCATTATTGGAGCTACAGTACCATCAGTATGTATATATGTATGTATGTATATATATTTTTTAAGCAATTACATAAGCAAGTAAATATTCAGTCTCCTCCTCTGACCAGTTTGTAAGATGTAAATAAACATATGTAAAAAGGAAAAAATTATAAAAGGGGTCCGGTAAACATATGCAGCCTGACAATATTTTTGAATCTGCTTAGTTTTTTCTTATTGATCATAATATGCCAGATCTACACCACACAATTTCATTTGGATTGAGCTCAATTGGATTGACTGATTATCTGATTTAGATCAAATTGGTGTATATTTGGTTATGCGGACTCATCACATGGATGTTCATGGATTGTTCACGGTCACAGCGCCGCCAGCTGGCAGCAGGATGTGTGACACGTGCAAAAGACTTCAAAGTAGTCCTGTTTAAATGCATGTTGCCACTGTGAATAGTTTTTTTTAAAGCCACCAGTGGCCCATCATCGCTGTCTGTAGCTGTATTTTACTTTTAAGCTCATCTGTGGAACTTTTGATGTTTTTACTCACCGGAATGCCTTTAAAGGGGGAACAGCAGTCACCTTTCCCACAGGCTTGAGTCCGACTGAAGGGGGCATCATCACCATGAGCCCCCCACCAGAGGGTTTGGGCTGTGCTCCACGAGCAGGGCTGAGAGGAAGAGGCCTCTGGGGGGGTGTGAACGGGGGTCGAGGCTGTTGTTCTGATACCTTCTGTATGAGGATAGGAAAAAGAAGTGAATAAGTATTTGAGGTGTGCTTTCTTCAGGATTTCTGACGGCGTGATTAAAACAGGTGTTTCAAGCAGCATTTCATTTGATGAGATTGTGACCTATTTTGGCTCCCACAGTGATTTTGATTAAACCAAAAGAATATGAGTACACTGAATTCTCACCAGTGGTGAGCGTGAAGGGTTGAGGGGTAGAGGCTTCTTGGGAGGACTGAGCTTCTGGGGTGATGCTACAGATTTGGGTGGCTTGCTGATAGGCGGAGGAGGTCGAGGTCCTTTGATGTTGCTCAGGGATGGCGACGGAGCCGGCCGGAGAGGACGGACAATATTAACTGGCTGAGTACTGTTGGAGGCTGGGTTTGGCCTCAGAGGAAGCACCTCCTTGCTGGTGTGAGGTAGCTTAAGAGGAAAAAAAGCAAAGTGATGATGAGATATTGGTGATGCTACTACATGATCTGAAAAAATCACATAATACATACTAAACAAACCCCATCATAAATCTCTAAATGAAAATGAAAAAATGCACTTCAAAGGACTAATGTCTTGACAGAGGTGAATGGGGTCATAAAACTGATGAATGCAAGTGAAAAATTAATTTGTAGCAAATCTTGCATCTTTATTAGTCTGTTATCTGTTTTGGGCCACTAAAATATGTCTACGGAAAATATAGCTTTGCCATCACAGAAATAAATGACATTTTAGATATTAATATACAACTTTTTATATAACTTTTTAAATTGTATTTATTTTAAATTGTAATAGTATTTCACAGTACTGTTACTATTTTTACTGTATTTTTGATCAATTAACTGTAGCTTTCGTGAGCAAAAGAGACTTAAAACAACATCTTGCCAACCCCAAAAATATGTACTAAGTATAATGTAATGCAAAGTTTTGTATAATTCGTATTAAAGATTATATATACAAGTGTTCTCTCCTCTGTGACTAAAGTGTCCATACCTTAAGATTAACACTTCTGTTGGAGGGTCCCACCACCTTCAGATGGAAAGCAGGGTTTAGGTGTCCATTCTTCCCCTTTTCAACGGAGCCCTCATTTCTGAAAACGTATGAAAACACATAATAAATAATTTAGTGAACAGACTAGAAGTGAAATTGACTACCATTGCGTTTTTTTGTCAGTTTGTAAAGCACAAGATTGACTACAGACTTTCAGCATGTACAAATATAATACCATAATTTTCTAAGCATGTTATTCAAAAGTGCACTGGATAATGAACATTTTTGGAGCATACGTGTATGTTCATAGAGTGACATCAGAAAGCATTCAGACCCCTTGAGTATTCATAGCTCAGGATAGACTGAATAATTTATTGTATTTGACATAATATACCAAAAGGACAAAGTGAACTTTTATTATGTATGTTTGAAAAAAATCTGAAATGTATTATTTGCATTAGTATTCAGACCCTGTGTAGCTGTGCATGCTGTGTGGCAGTGAAGACAGCAGGAGGTCTTCTTGGGTGTGATTTGCACACCCGGATTCTTTTTTCCCGTTCGCCCTTGCAGATCTCTTCAAACTTTGAGTAGTTTGCCCACAGTATTTCTATGGGGTCATTTTAGATGGAACACTCAAGGACATTATTTGTCCCAAAGCCAATCCAGGATCATCTTGGCTTTGTGCTCCAGGTCATTCTGACACTGAATGAAGAATCTTTTCTCTTGACGGAGGTTGTGTGCTGATTTTCTTCAAGCATCACTCTATATTTGGCTCTATTCAACCTCCGTCATGTTGCCTGCCAATCCTAAAGCCTGTTGCAGAGAATAACCCCTCTGCTTTTTTGGCTTTTATACTACACAGATTTTTCCTAACTGACACTGATGCGAAACAGATTTAAGCATGTCCATTTGAAGCTGCAGGAGATATTCTTGGATTTAAAGTCTTACATGAATTGCCACTGTATAAACAAAAAAAAAACAAAGCCACTTCTTAAAATATCTTACACAGAAGAAATAAAGAAAATCATGCATGTTTGGAATGACACAAGGGTTAGAAAATGATGACATTATTTTCATTTTTGGGTGAATCATCGCTTGAAGTGCAAGAGTTGGTACAGTGTAAGTTGAAACCTTGCTCAATGGACAACTTAACAAAAAATAAATAAAAAATCTAAATCACATCTGTTAGTATTAGTCAGTAGATGTATATCAGTAATTATTAGGTTGCATTAAATTTTGTGATTTTTCTGAAACTGAGAGAGTTCAGATGTGAGACCGTGTGTGTGGGGAACTGCTCCATGCCAAACACGACCTGGTCTGCCACTGACTAGAAGAAAGGATAATACCATACCTAATCTGACAAACTTTGAATGTTTTTAATGATTGGTAAGGGGAGGATTCAAAGTGAAGTAACCTCAGTTATCTCTCTGCAGCTGCTGTTTTCAGCAAATGTGAAGATAGATCACATAATTAGATTTCAACGGATACTGACAGCTGAACTAATCACATATGTTTAGAGGGCCTGAGATGAAAGACAGGGGGCTCTGGCTTGCACTCTGTAGAACAGTTACATTTCATTTCTCATAAAAGTCATTTTACAGCAGATCACAAAACAATTGTTTGAAAGCAATTTGGCAAAGCAAAATGTGTCCCTGATATAGCTTGATTAGATTTGAAACATAGACTGATAGCGTTTGAAATAAACAAAAATAAATAAATAAAATTAAATAAAATTAAAAAATTAAAACAACTCAGATAAGGGCAGGGGGATCACTGAGTTAATATTATCTAAGGGGCCAGATAATATCCATAATTGTGTAAATGAACAGAAGGGGTTCTTGTCTTTAAAGGGGTCATATGATGCGATTTAAAGTTTTCCTTTCTCTTTGGAGTGTTACAAGCTCTTGGTGCATAAAGAAGATCTGTAAAGTTGCAAAGACTAAAGTCTCAAATCCAAAGAGATATTCTTTATAAAAGTTAAGAGTCAACCACGGCAACCTAAAATGGCTCGTTCTAACACGCCTCCACATATCTACGTCACTATGTGGAAATATTAGCATAATGCCGCCCAAATGTGCACACAAAGAAAGAAGGTGTGGTTCTGTATTATCCATCTGTATTATTTTTTACTATTTTCTATCTTTGTAGTTAAAATCACCTCTTTATTCTATTCTTTTAAAAGTCTATTTTTGTTAACAAAATGAATGATAGACAGATGTATCCATGTAGAGTAGCATATGATTTTTACACTTATTTGGGATTCATTTATGTGTGAGTTTTGAATCTGCAAAAAGGCATTTTGATATTAGATATATCACAGGGCACCAGCAATGGAGGCAGTTTGTTATCCAAGAGATATAGTAAAACGGATGGGCTTGAGGAAACCTAAAGAAGATAATATTGTGCTGAATCACTCAGCATGCCACAGGAGCCACTAGTCAATGCGGTCGAAATCGCTCACTCTCTCACTTATTCTCTCACTCATGCCATGAATTCAGTGGGTCTCTCCAGGAACCAAATAGCCAGTTTACCTAAACAGCCAGTTTTAAGATGAATGGCTCAAAATGTCTTCCATCTGACAACACCGAAGGCCACTGCACCTCTAGAAACCTTGACTGCCCAGACATGTTTTTTATGGATAATCTCAAAGAGCTAATAAAGTTTTTTTTTCATAACTTCAAAGACCTTTTTTTAGGGTTTTGCTCTGCCATTCAGTGTGTACAAATACAAACAGGTGTACCTTTCTAAAATCATGTCCAATCAAATGAATTTGCATAACGGGACTAAAAATAAATTCAATAGATGATCAAAAGAAACAGGACACTTCTGAGCTCAATACACGGTCTGAGATTTTAGCTTTCTGCTATTAATCAATTCAAACTTCTATGAAGCCATTTTCACATTGTTTCTGTGGTGGTTTGTGTAAATGGAAATGCATACATTTTTTAACAAAACTGTAAAAGGGTCTGAACACTTTGTAAAGGCGCTGCATAACTGTGTGTGTGTGTTGCTACATTAATACCTGCTGGCTTTGCTCTTCTCTCTCTGTGTTCTCCACTTGTGGTAGTAGGAGCTTTTTATCTTGATGCAGTAGAAGGCAATAAGTACAGCAGGGAGAAGCACTAGAAAAGCAAAGAGCAGCCCAACAACCAATCCCACCTGACCTGAGGACAGATATAGAACATACAGCGACTGTTAGACAAGGGTCAACAGCAAACACAAAGAGAAGTGCTTGCCAAATATCTGCCACTCTGAATAATAGATCTTGTGTGCACTGCATTCACTCTGTAGCATAATAATGTCTATGGCTACGTTCAGAATAGCAAACTACCATACTTTTTTCTTTAGTATACTACTTTTAAGCAGCATCTAGCAAATGAATAGAACACGCAAATGAACTACTACATTTCTAAAACGTGCAGCACACAACCAGTGAATACTCTCTTCTGCAATGCAATGCAATGCAACTTGACCTTCTATTTCCAGTGTGACTCATGAACAAGAAGGGATATTAACTGTGACTTTTCATTTTAACATTACTCGCTATGTGATCAGAGAGTAGGTTAAGCCATTTTTACCCCAAATTGCCTCACTCTCATGTACACTACTGTTTAAACGTTTGGGATCATGAGCTTTTTATAATGTTATTGAAAGAAGTCTTTTATGCTCACCAAGACTATAGATTTATTTGAGCAAAAACACTATATATAAATATTTGAGTCATATTGTGAAATATCACCAACATTGAAATGAACTGTTTACTATTTTAATATAATTTAAAATATGATTTATTCCTGTGATGCTAAAGCTGATTTTTCAGCTGGCATTACTCCAGTGTCACATTATCCTTCATAAATCATTTTAATACCGATCTGGTGCTCATGAAACACTTCTTATTATTGTCAATATTGAAAATGGATGTTTATTTTTGTGGAAAACGTAATACTTTTTAATCAAGATTCTTTGAATAGAAAGAACAGCAACTATTTAATTTTATTTTATTTAAAGCAAAGTAGAAGTAATTATTGTCACTTCTGAATCAATTTAAAGGGTTAGTTCACCCAAAAATGAAAATTCTGTCATTAATTACTCACCCTCATGTCGTTCCACACCCCTAAGACCTTCGTTCATCTTCAGAAGACAAATTAAGATATTTTTGATCAAATCCGATGGCTCAGAGAGGCCTCCATTGACAGCAACGCCACCCAAACTTTCAAGATCCATAAAGGTACTAAAGACTTCGTTAAAACAGTCGACGTGACTACAGTGGTTCTACAATAATTTTATGAAGCGACGAGAATAGTTTTTGTGTGCAAAAACAAAACAAAAATAATAACTTTATTCAGCAATCTCTTCTCTTCCCTGTCATTATCCTTACGCGGTTAATGCAGTATGCACAGTGAAGGCTTCCGTGTTCTACGTCCAAACGCCAGCTCATTATTGGCTAAAGCTGCACATGTGAGCAGCACGACGCATGCGTGTGATGCTGATGCAGGAGCCGTCCAATAATGAGCCGGCGTTCTGATGTAGAACCTGGATGCGCTGGACGTAAACAACGTATGAGAATGACACAGAAGTGAAGAGGTTGTTGAATAAAGTCGTTATTTTTGTTTTGTTTTTGCGCACAAAAAGTATTCTCGTCGCTTCATAAAATTATTGTAGAACCACTGTAGTAACGTCGACTGTTGTAACGACGTCTTTAGTACCTTTATGGATCTTGAAAGTTTGGGTGGCGTTGCTGTCAATGAAGGCATCT